CAGTCACCATTTCAAAAACAAAGTCCCAAAGCTCATTTGATAGCTGCTAAGATGCTAACACACACACACACACACACACACACACACACACACACATTTACAAATCCAGACCTAATCTATTTACTATATGTTCAGAAAGATCTAAATAAGCGTTGGAAATTTGCATATTTGTTTTTGCAGTCTTAGCACCAGATTGTTATTCGTTTGCGTTGTGTTTGCCGTATCCAAAAGTCCATTTCAGTCCAAAACTATTTGTCGGGGAGACCTTGTCAAATGGGCTCTGATATCCAGCAGAACAGAAGTCTGTGAAGCCATATGTGACGGGAGTAAGTGAGACCTGCAGGTGGATCTTCTCCAGACATCAGATTCCTGTGTACTCTAAACCTAACATCAGACACAGACCAGTCCATCCCAGAGGGAGAAACCAAAACACTGAGCTGCATTGTTGTTTAGGTACAGTGCAACGTGTGTGAGGGAATCTTTATAGGAGAGACCAAACAAACAACAACTCCACAAGCTCAGACAATCACTCACACACTCACACGTTCACACTGTGACCACGCCTTCTGCTAGATAACTAACCCCCCCCACCTACATGTGGTTTATGTGAGGAAGCTTTTCAGACGAGAGGATGAGAAGTAAAACATCTCCACGATCCAATTTCTGCTATATTGTGCCGAAAACAAAGCTGTAAACTTTGAAAGGAGTCACAAAAAGAAATGGTAGAAGCTTTGAGTGGAGGTTTATTCAAGTGTGTCAAACATTATATGCTCAAACAGAGAATTTTACATTGATTACAGAGTTTTCACAGACGGGTACGTTTTATTCCTGGCTTGTTTGCTGATTCCCTAATTGAACAATATAATTCGAACACGGTAAAATTCTCACTTTTTACTGGTCCCTACTGCTGCTGTTGCTGGAGAATCCCCCACAATAGCATGTCCAGACTGTCAGATTGTTTTGGGGCCTGTCATGCATGCTAGCAAATTGTCACATAATCTCTGCATGTGTCGAAGAGGCTTTTTATAGTTGTGCAGAGCTGCAAACCCTCACACAACCACACACACACACACACACACACACACACACAAAGAACATATGACAATATCATAAATGTATTTGTTCCAAATGTCATGGTACAGATGGCAAATGAACTATGAATTTTAGATTGAACATTTAGGTTGCTTTGTAACTATTGACTTTGTCTGCTCTCTATTGGATTTATTGAAGATACCTGAAGATGTACAGAACACTGATTCAATCACCTGTTCTACACCTTTTTCCAAAGACTCAAACCTCATTATCTGCTTATTTTCAGAAGTCTGAGATTGACTCTTAATGAAATGAAATATTGAACAAGTTGAGCAATATAACACTAAAGAAAACCTAATTAGAAGTGTATCTACATGTGCATTTAGCTCTTTAGGATGGACTATTTCCACACCGGATATCATTAGGTCTTCATACAATAATTAACCAGCTTGTCTCACTTAGGGAGTGGAATTAATTCTGTGCATCGGTGGCATGTCCCATCCAACATGAAACCCATTAGTCTGGATCTCTGTGTAATTACCTCACATACTGGCTTCTCTGGCTCATGGAGTGTGAGCCGAGAGTATAACTAAAATATGAGGTTCCTCATTCATGTAACATAAGATGGAGCTTTTTGGTCATTAAGATTCAGCACCCTCCTCCCCTGCTAGAGGGGGGGGACACTAGAACCACACCACCAGAAAAGGCTGTTTCTCCTCTTCTGCCATGTCAGATGCCTACTGGTTAAGGAGGGACCAATCACGTTTGTCCATTAAGCTGTTG